GGTAAGAATGAAGTTTATTTACTTTTCCAAGGCGACTTGACAAAACCTCTGCTCAATCCTGCCATACACTTTACTTCCTGTCCCCCTAACAACAAAGTCATAGACAGAGCCTAAAAACTGGGGCACAGTTTTAGCTGTTAAGTTTTTAAATGTTAATGTGATTTATTAAGATGAAACAATATCTTAGAGCAGGATTATAAAATTTAGAGAGCGACTGGGGACTGATCACCTTTACCATGTTTTGTTGCATAGTCCCCAGGACCACTTCCAGGTTTCATGACTCATTAGGAGGACTTGTAAGATACAGCATGAAGTCATACTCATGGCTACAACTTACTACAGTGAAAGGACACAAAGCAAAATCAGCAAAAGGAAAAGGCACGTAGGGCAAAGTCCACAGGAAACCAGGCACAAGCCTCCAAGAGTCCTCTCCCAGTGGGGTCAGGCGGATGTGCATAATTCCTCCAGGAGCAAGTCATGACAACCTGTGTGAAGTGTCTTCTATCAAGAAGTCCATCAGAGACTCAGCACTGAAAGCTGAAAGTTTTAGTGGGTAAAGTAGGTACTTTTGGCCTAGCTTGTACCAAAATTCCAAACTCCAGGAGGAAATTAAGTACCAATCTGAATCCCATTGTTTGTACAGTTTACACACAGTGAGACACTCTTATCATTTAGAGAATATTTCTTACCAGTGTGGGTGGCTGTTTACCAGTCATGTTCCCAGACACGGACCAAGGCAGCCCTTCAAGCAGCCTTTGTAACAAGAACAGCCTCAGGCCTGTTGTTCCAACCCATCCAGCTCTTTTCTGGACACACATTCCTGTCCCTTCACCTGCTTGCCACTCCCTTGATTTGTTCCCTGTTCTGTTTTAGTCAATGGGTTTGTCCTAAATTACTATTTTTCTAATTGCTACCATCAACTTTTTTTTTTTATTCTTAAAAGATACCTTCTAGGTACAGAGTTCCTTTTTGGGTGATGAGAATGTTCTGGAATTAGCAGTGATGGCTGCACAACTTTATGTCTATACTAAAACCTACTGAGTGGTACACATGAAAAGGCAAAATTTTATGGTAGGTAAATTATATCTTAAACATTTTTTTAAAGACAGGTTTTCCTTCAGATCTAAAGGTTTCCTGGTTTGTTCGGTCGTGTGTTGTAACAGTGGTTTTCTTCTAACAACACCGTTATACTTTAGTTCCCCTGGTTTCAGACTCAGTGTTTTTCAGTCCAAAATATTTTGAGAGAAAAGTGTTCATAAAACGTTGACAGGAGAGGTACCTTGTTTTTGGTGTGTATTTTCACACAGGAAGTTTATGTACATTATTTAACTTTATACCCCCACAACCACTCGTTCTGTTCATTAGGCAACTGGAGGATCAAAATATATAATATTGCAACAGTTTGTTCAAAGGGCATGACTAGAAATTTGTCATTTAGAGAGAACTTCAGATTCTGATGTCAAAACAGGTCTCCAGCTTTGCACAGTTGTTTGAATTGCTTTGAAAAAGCAGTTTAGCATTCTCCCAGGTGGGTTCAAGGAACAGATTATTCAGGCTGGTGGAAACGACACATTATGCTCTGTCATTGCTCTGGTTACTAGTTGCTATATCACTCACTACCTCAAAACTTAGTGGCTTAAAATAACAACCTATTACATTATCTCATATTTTGTGGGTCAGGCACCTGGGAAGGGCTAGCTGAGTGACACTTCTCTCCACATGGCATGACAGAGTCAACTTGGTGCCATTCAGCTGACGGCTGGGCTGTTCTGGAAGGCTCCTGTCACTTTCACTCACATGCCTAGCATCTCAGTGGGGACAAAAGAAAGACAGAGTTCCATTGAGCTCTCTTCCCTTTTTGTGTAGTTTTAGGACCTCTCCATCAGGGTACACAGACATTTGACATGGTAGACTTAAGCTCTAAAAGAACAACAGGAGTTGTCAGTCCTCTTAAAGGCCCAGCCAAGAGATTCATGGTGTTATTTGAGTCCGACTCTACCAGTCAGAGCAGTTCCAAGCAGCCTAGACTCAAGGGGAGAGGACAGCCATGACCTCGCAATGCAAGGAGTGTCAGAGAGTGTGTGATCATATTAACCCACTGCAGTTACTCATAGACGATTTTGTGGCTTTGACTGTGCTTACCTTTGGGGTGGAATCTCAGTGTCTTGTTCTAGCTCCTCAGGCATTTCAGCAGCACCTGAGACTTGATAGCCTAGGACTTTTCTACATCTCCTTGGTAAATAACAGGGTAAGACAACTTTAACTGCCTGAGAAATCCCCCTGCACAATTTCTAAAAAAAAAGAGAGAGAAAAGAAAAGAAACCTTTCAGATCCACCACTGCTGTCTTTTACTGTTTCACTCAAACAATTCTTACCAGGCATTCAGGCCAACCCTAAAGTAAAAGTTTAGAATGAATAACTCAGTGATTTTTTTCCTTATTCCTGGGTTAAAAATTAAAGATTTATCAAAAATCAAATAAAATATGCCTGTTGTATCTAGGAGTTGCCATCTCTGTAGTGAGTGAGGGATTAGATTAATACATGACCTCTTCAGAGCCTTAGAATAGATGAGATAAAGGATGAGTATATTTTAAAGGTGTGAGGAAGGGAAGTGCAGAGACTTAGAATCCATTAAAATGAGAGTTCCAGGTAAAAAAAGGAATGGAGAGCAAGACTGAAGTTCTCTGGTGTCCAGGTCAAGAATTTATATTGAAAATTGTTCTGAAAAAGCAGTATTACAAAGAAAGACAAATTTCATTTATTTTACACTTTTAACTACCACATTCTCTGGCTGTGGTCTAAGGTAATGTACTGTGACTGACTTTAAATATTTACATTCTCCAGTTTTCACACTTAGTAAATGGGAATATGACCTTTACTTCTACCCTGTTTTGGGAGTTTTGAAAGCCTCAGAATCAATAGATATTATTGAGTCATTGATTTAATTGGTCTTTGACTATAAAATATTCTACATATCATTGAAATATTTCCCGGTTTTGATCAGTTATATCATTTAATTTATATATATTGAACACACTGTGGGCAAGGCCTTAAAAAAATTAAGTTGAAATTGGAAATTTACAGTGATTGTAACTTAGTCACATAAATCATTATCTTTCCCTTCTTTATCTTTCTTTCTTTCTAATTTACTTTTTTATTTTCAGAATAGAATTAGCCTTTAAAAAAAAGTCCTTGACCTTCTTCAAGAAGTTTCCTGTCCTTTGGAGAGACCCAGACTTCATGGCTGATACCTGGGACTGTGAAATATGCAGTTGCCTAAGGTGCCAGAAATGCTGTCATGGAGTGTCTGTTGGCATTTAAAAATAAACATTGTGTCTGTCCGAACTAGTGGAAAAAATAGCTTCCCCTGCTGTACTTCCAGCTCTCTTCTCTGTTTGCTGTCCAGAAGCTCTGCCTGGGGTTGAAACGCTGAATGGTTCTCAGATACGTCTAAATGCATTCCTTGCTGTGAAGCAGGATGGAAGCTGGATGCTTCTCATGGCTTGCATTTCCTGGCAATGTTATTAACTTTTTCAACTTTTTCTCCCAAAGGCAGAACAGAAAGTAAGCAAAGAAATAAAGCACATCTTTGGGCACGCAGCATACTGTAGCCTAGGTTTCCACCTCTCTCACTCTAACTCCTGATGGCTCTATGACAAAGCAGTCTTTCTTTAAAAGTTCTCCTTGATGTTTATCCAAGTCTGACTTTACTCAGGTTCTATTGTAGGATCCTACTTTGTGCTCTATGTACCACTCTTCACAGTGTATTTATCACGTCTCTGTTCCAAATTCTTGGAGGCCACTGAGTTATTATTACACATCAGTTTTTGGTAGTTTTTATCTGGAAAACAGAAATTGCGTTTTCCAAAGAACTTTACCGTGCATTTGAAAAAAATAGTTTCTGTGCTAAAAAATATGAATACTTTAAAAAGACAATTAAAAACCTCTTCACCATGAGAATTATATGTCCACTAAGATAAGATAAAAATAATGGGCCAAGTGTTAAAGTTGTTAAAATCTACAAGTATGTGTAAGATCTAATGTCACTTTAATACAATGATAAATAATTGATGCTATGGAAGGTAAGGCTGAGGTCATTAAATGTCTAAGGACTCCATAGAAGGACTCGTCTCATTTTCATGGGTCCTGGTCCAAAAAACAGTAGGGTGTTTGGAATTCACTGTAAATCTTGAGAGTGTAAATATAAACTGCAGTGTTGTTATGTACAACTTTAGATAAAATGTTGGAGATGTGGAAAGGTAAGAAATGGGGAGAAAAGCAAGTTTTAACCGGGAAAGTAATGGAGGATAAAAGCAACACTGCTTTCTCTATGATCTGCCCGCCCCCCTCTCCTGAGGTACCCACATCTACAACAGCCAAGTTCAAGGAGTGTTGCAAAGCTTCAGGTCAATTTCAGGCATGTGTCAACCTGTAAGAAGTATCTACTTCAGGAGTCAGTCTAGAGTGTGGCCTTAAGATTTCTGGAAAATAGCAAGGCTCTTTATCAATGCAGATAACATTGCTTACCAAGGAAGCCAGGTTGGTATGAAACAAGAGGGAGTGAAAATCAAGCACGGTCTTCTAGAGGATAAACCGGGCCAAGGTGAGAGTATCCACCTGAACTCTAGAAACAGAGAGTTGAAAATTCATTGATATCCTAGAAACATGAGGATAAGGATGTGTAATATTCATTCATTGATTTTTTAAATATCTGCATCATATTTATTTTGCTAGGCTAGGGATAAGCACTAGGGATAAAGGAAAAGAAGACAAAAATGGTTCCTCCCCAGTGAACTTTATATTCTTATGAGGGAGACAGACACTGAAAATATACAGAGATAAATTATAATTGTAATATATAATGTGAGACAAAATAATAGCAAGTTATCTGAGACCATAGGGAGAGATTTGTTTTTCACTTAACTGTGGAGCTGGCTAAGGGAAGGCAAATCAGACAGTGCTCGCTAATGTTGCAATGTCTCACGCATCCATTCTTTCAGGTGACAGCACCAAGGCCTGAGTCGTCTATGCCTGTCTGTAAGCCTCTTTGTGGAGCTTTTGTGTCACCAAGCCAGGCTTCCTGGATGTTGGTGAGTTGATTGTCTGATCACTGTACATATCCCCAACAGACTTAAGACTGAAGAGAAAATTACATCATTGGTTGAATCCACAACTAAACTATGATTTTTAATGAAATTTTTCCAAGGCATACCCTCTGATTGCAGTGGATAGTGAGTTTTTGGGTGACTTTTCTCATCCCATTTCCTCTACCCTCTTTTATTTCATTTTATTCTATCAGCATACTCATTCCTACCACTGCCAATGATAAATGGCTTACTAATAATTCTTGTGCATTTAGAAAATGATCAAATTTTGCTGTTAAAACACCACATAGACATTGTGGCCTTCTGTCAAAAGTTAATTTCTAAGACATTTTTAAGGTCAACACAGTTGTTAAACTGTTTCAATAACCATCATCGCCCTGTTAAATTAGTCTAAGGTGCTGGTTGGAATAACATACCACCTTTGTTAATGACCTCCGTCACTATTTAAATTGGTAAGGTAATAGGTTTGAGGGATTCTGTAATGTAACCTAGCGTATAGGTTAACATTTTGAATAAATGATGTCAAAATCTGTATATTTCTCCCTTTAAATTCTCAATGTCTCCATTGTTACCAACTATGTTTTCATATTTCTCTTTAGGATGTGCAATTAACATTTTCACCTGTAGTGGAAATAGGAAATGGTCATAGCTAAATTGCTTCTTGGTAAGTTCCCTTCCATTACAGACTGTGGATAGTAAAATCTGTGTGCTCAGTCATCACCAGGAACAAGAACCACTTCATGTTTTTCATTCATTCTCTTTCAGAGTTTTGCTTTGATGAATCTTAAAGTGCCTGAACACTAGTTTCAAAGCTGTCCCAAGTGTCTTAAGTCACTAGGGCATAGAAATAAAATATACACTTCAGGTTAGTTTAAAATACTGCAGACAGATTTCAAAAATCCTACAACTTCTGTGACATAACGGCTGCTTATGTCAGATTCAGACATCTCTAAAACCTGCACATAAACAGACTAGATCTCCAAGTTAAAGAAACTCTTTGAAATATGCTTTCAGGCTTTCATGCCTGAGATATATTTGCTGTGTTTTAAAACTTTATTACTAAAATTTGCATCCTAAAAATGCTATTCTACAATATTTAATAAGAATTGCTCTTTTTAATTAAATCATTACACTTCCTGTTTGATCTCTTCCTCACATGCTCCCAGGACTGTGGCCTTAGCTTCAGTTTGTTCTGCCTTACCAGCCCTGGCTCTACTCTTTTCATGTTCCCTTCAATAACTAAGTGACTTTAGGCAAGTTCATTAACCTCCCCGGACCTCAATTACTTCATCTGCATGAAGAAGGAGTCAGATTAGGAGTCATCTACATTCTAACCCAATACTGATGTTCTATGATGAATTGTGGCCTTTTGATTAATAGTGAAACTCTCTCAGGACTCTACTTTTAAACAGTTACTTTCCTCAAGTTAATTTGTATAAAATGATCACATCCTGACTGCATGCTGTCCCTTACCATACTTTTTAAAAGTATTGTTTCATAGTATCTCAGTAAATTATAAATTAGTGGACTCTGCAAACTACATTAGCACTTTAAACAAGGTGATATTGCAACATTCTGAATATAAAAAATGTATATTTTTTCCACTCTAAATAATTGACATCCTTATATGAAGCTAATTTGCTCATGTAAGTGATTGGAGTTCTAGGAGAGCCCATTCATTCACCCTCTCTACTCCAGAGACTAAACATTCAAGCAATACATTAAGGAGCTAAGTGGGAATTAAAATAATCTGAGCACTTCATTGCTCATATAGCTGTATTTAAGGACTTGGCTTGGACTTGAAGCTGAAACCTGGTGCTTTCTCCCCTAAAATGTGAATGTTGCCAAGAAGGAAAAATTGGGTTCTTGGAGCTTACCTAGGTAGCACAGGGAGAATAATAACCTTTAATGATCTGTCTTACATTGTAGAAAAGCCCTTTCCCAAAGAGGATATGGAGTGAGGCAGGAGTAGAGCAAGAGATAGAGAGAGAGAGAGAGAGAGAGAGAGAGAGAGAGAGAGAGAGAAAAAAGTGTGTGTGTGTGAGGGAGAGAGACAGACAGACAGACAGACTGACAGAGATAGAAAGAGAGAGACAGAGAGAGAGGAAGGAGAAGAATTGACCATGTTACAGTCATAGAAATTAAAGCTCTGCAAGAACAAGTGACTTTTCTCATCATGAGATTAAGACGGTATCAGGATGTTCTGGTCGGTGCTAAAGCCAGTGCTCCTCTGTCCCATACTCTCTACCCTTGTGTCATCACTAGTAAATGTGTCTCACAGGCACATAACATGGACACACATGGCCTTCTACTAAGCCAGCTTCCATGTCACAGGGAGATGATTTTACAAAGAAAACAAAAATCTCAGGGTGAAACACAACCAAGGACTCAGTGTGATTCTAGGATATGTGGGTTTCTAGACATATATCGTTAAACAGTGAGTGCTTCACTTTATTGAGGTGTTAGTCTCTATAAAAAAAAAAGAGAAGAATGTATTATGCAATAACTTTTCATATGGGATTTAGGATGTTAAGAATAACACTCACCCTAGTTTGTTTTGTGACCGGCATCACTGCGGAATGGGTTTTACCATTCTGGGCTTTATAACAGTTTGATTAAGGGCATCCTTGGATGTACTCCTGTGTGACATCTCATACCCCACCCTACCCTGTCACCCAACAAAGGGGTTAGCAGAGAAGTGTATGATCTCTGACCAGGATTGTGAATGATCAATAGGGAGAAGGCATAGGCTGACCCAGTGTCTCTGTGATTTAACTGCTTTGTTGTGCAGTCTGTGGAACAGGCCTAGTAGTAAAGTGCTGTCAGGTTGCTTTGGAGGGAATAGTGGCCTCAAGCTATAGGGTTCACTAGTGGGGAGGCCAGTCTCATGATTCACCAGTCAAATTTGAAACTGGGGAAACATATTGTGAGACCCATTACAAGTTGGAGTCCTATTTACATGAAATCCTTTTGCTTTGCAAATAGAGACTTTATAGAATGGCCAAGATAAAATGAATTTAAATTCAATTATATTTTAGTGAACAGTGTTATAGCAAACTTACCTTGTAACAATGCCTGAGAAGGTAATTAATTATAAATGGAGTGGTTTGTTTAATAATATTTTTATGTATTTCAATATGTATTTTACATTATACTTATATATTTAATTCCATATATTAAATATAATGCATATATATTTAATAAATTATATTAAAATTTTGCATTAAATTAAACAGTATATTAATCTTAACCCTGGTTAAGCTGCATTGCTATGTTGCTTTGCTGGAATATGGGAGGAGTATTATCCCCTAAGGTAACTGACTAGAGTGACCCTTAGAAGCAACAGCAACAGGTACAAAGAGAAAGAATAAAGAAAAATACTTATGTTTACATTAGATGGAATAATTGTCTAGTTTTAGTATTCGATCTCTTATTTTGAAAAATATTTTAAATCTTGACATCTTTGTAATTTTTATATTTTCTAAATGAGGTATATCTGACATACAACATTCTATTAGTTTCCAGTATACAATATAATGATCACCATAGTAAGTCTAGTTAACATCTATCACTGTACAGTTACAAAATTTTTCTTATGATGAAAATTTTTGAGATTTACTCTCTTTGCAGCTTTCAAATATACAATACAGTATTAACTATAGTCACCATGCTGTGCACTTCATCCCCATAATGGATTTATTTTATAACTGGGATTTTGTACCCTTGACTCCATTTACCCATTTTGCCCACCCCGAATTTTAGTCTCTTCTATGTATATATCAGCTTTTTTTAATTATTAATTTTTATGGTCCACATATGAGATAATTTAGTACTTGTTTCTCCCTGATTTATTTCACTAGCATAATGCCTTTAAGGTCCATCCATGTTGTTACCAATGGCAATAATTCATTTTTAATGGCTGAATAATATTCCATTGTATACATACACCACATTTTCTTCATTCATTCATTAATGGACATTTAGGTTGTTTGCATATATTGGCTGTTGTAAATACAGCTATAATCAACACAGAGATATATATATATCTTTTCAAGTTAGTGCTTTAGTTTTCTTCAGATGAATATGCAGAAGTGGAATTGTTGGATCAGATGGTAGCTCTGCTTTTAATCTTTTGTGGAGCTTCCGTACTATTTTCCAGAGTGGCTGCACCCATTTCCATTCCCACCAACAGAGCACAAAATTTCCTTTTATTCCACATTCTGGTCAACACTTGTTATTTCTTGTCTTTTTGGTAATAGCCATTATAACAGATATTTGGTGATATCTCATTGTGGTTTTGATTTG